TTCTTTCGCCCTCCTCTATAGCATCGCGAGGCTCCGCTAATGGATTCAGATTGAGGTATCCGGATGCATCAGGCGAAGATGTGCGAATCTTGTGTATGCCGCTACTTAGAACAAGAGAAGCAGCAGCGGTAGTATGATACTTCCCTTCCAAGATCCTGCCGGCAAAGTAAAAATAGTTTGCTAGAAGGACCTCCGATTGAATACATTGAAGCACCTTTTGATGGTGGTTTTCCAACAGTGCATGAGCTGAGCTTTGAAGGGCACGAGAGACAAGGATGCTCTCTTGCCCTGTATGGTTTTCGAATGAAGAGAGAAGCATTCCCCAGAGATAGGACGTGTTTAATAGTGCGAATGTTGGCCTTTCACCTTCAGCGTTCAGTACCAGTGAATTTTTGAAGCGCTCTTTGTCCAAGAAAATACCCAAAGAACAGCTTTTGTGAATGAAGTTGTGAAGTCTGTTTGAGGATGAGTTAGAAAAATAGTCAGGGGACGGTATGAACTACTCACAACAGCTGAGAAAGAACTGGGGGTATGTCCTGCAAAGTACCAATATTAACTGAACGCCCGAGAATGAGATGAAATGAAAGCATACCTGAAGCCCTGACGCAGAGATTTGAGCTGCTAGCAAAAAAAGTAAGACAATACACGGATAGCCATCTGCGGCGCACGTACTAAAAGATGGAGCCGCATGTAGATACACCTCTGATCCCGTCTGTAGGTCGTGCCCGGTCCCCTTGAGAGTGGTGCTGGTCTCCCCCACCTCAAGCTCTTGTATATGTGCCTTAAGAGCAGATATATGATATTCGAGAGGTTGTACCTCGGCGGTTTGCTCGTTCCTGTATTCACAGTCATTGGAAATATCCGAGTTCAAGCAAGGAGAACATTTCGGTCTTTGTCCATCACATCTCTGGTAGAAGCAAATTAGTCCTCTCAATTCGTGATTGGGAATGATAGAACAAACAATTTTTCGATGTCTAATTCATCATAGTGAGTTACGAAGGACTCACAGAGAGAGAGAGTAGTACTGACCTGCAATTTAAACAAGCTAAGCCCCTTGGCAGAGAAGACATATCTAGACGTTCGTGTTTGAGATATCCATAACCTTGGGCTCTTTTTATTCCTCCAGCATCAGAGCCGTTGCTTGTTGAAATATATGGTACAGGTATAACGGTGGGTTTGTAAGGCAAATTGGAAGTCTGGCTATGAAGAAAGTTCCTGAAGCTCCGACGCGCCAGGATTGCGATAGATGAATGCCTTACTCAGCCGGGAATGACTGAGCTTCAAAGGACGCGAGGAATATGTTGGGCGCATTGTTGTGCCGCCCTCTTTATAAGCAATCAAAGTCTGCCTCAGGCTGAGTAAGCTCTCAGATAGTTTCCATTCTAATGGATGGGATACATACTGGTCAATTTATGAGCTATATAGGCCTTAAGCTTGAGGATAACCGTCAAACCTTGTAGCAGGACAAGACGAGGACAAGAGCAATGGGAATTGTGAAGTGAACCCGCCCTTAAGCGCTCAATAATACAGAATTTTAGCGCGCGCCATTCCAGCTCATGCCCAAATCAACCAGATCCATGAAGCGTTTTGGATACTCGGAACTGCGCCGTGAGGAACTATTTGGTGTGGTTTATCTTCAGGATTCGGGGATTTGACTCCTAAGGCCAAGGCTGCTGATAACGTAGTTTCTCCAGAGAGATTTGAATTCCGTGGTGTACTGGTACCCAGGCCAGTTTTCCTTGTGCTGTTTGATGCAGATCATGAGAAGGTGAGCTGAACTGAACTTGAAAACCAGAATCTAACTGTTGGTACTCTGACTAGGTTAAACCAAACTCTCTGGGTTCGACTACGCCTACCCTGTCACGTCTCAAACCTATTACCGCAAGACTTGATATTGAATTTCTCGCCCCTTGGCCTCTCATCGCTACCGATATTCGTCTTTTAGCCAATCTCAAGGTCAGTCCCCTTATCGATGATGTTGCTTCTGTTGCCCAAGCTTAACTACCCACTCAGGAAATTGAAGAACCATTTAAATTGACTCAAATCGGTCCCTCCGCGATGGCATATAAATGCAACCCGACGCGTTCTGAATGTGTTTGCAGTCTTACTAGACATCTCACGGAAAATGCATAGATGGCCCGAGCATGAAGTGGTTTGAAAGAACGTTGGAATCGCTCCCGATATTCGTCTTTCAGCCAATCTCAAGGTCAGTCCAGTCCTCTTATTGATGAATTTGTTTATGCTGCCCAAAACTAAATATCCACTCAAGAAATTGAAGAACCACTTGAACCGACTTAAATCGGTTCCCCTGCAATGGCATATAAACGCGACCCGATGCATTCTGAACGCGTTTGTAGTCTTGCTAGGCATCTCATGGTCTTGCACCAAAATGCATTGATGACCTCGAGCATGCAGTGTTTTGAAAGAACGTTGGATGATAGGTACATGCCATCCCACGCTGCTAATATCTCTCCCTACTAACCAACCGATTTCCAGTGCCAACTGCCGCATCACCCTCCCCGAAGCCTTCCTCACCTCCGACACCATCCTCTCCACCCTCCAAAACACCTCCGAAGGCCTCGTTGTCTACCCCAAAGTCATCGCCAGATGCATATCCCAAGAACTCCCCTTCATGGCTACAGAAAACATCATCATGGCGACCGTCAAAGCCTGAGGAGACCGTCAAGAGGCCCACGAGAAGATTCGTGTGTTGTCACATGAAGCGGGGCATCAGGCTAAGCAGCTGGGTTTGGAGAATGATTTGATTGAGAGAATGAGGATGGATGTGTATTTTGATCCGATTAAAGGACAGTTGGAGGATTTGTTGGAGCTGAAGAGTTTTGTGGGGAGGGCGCCCGAGCAGGTGGATGCGTTTTTGAAGGATTGGGTGGAACCGGCGTTGAAGGATGAGAAGGTGTAGGCAGCTATCAAGGGAGCGCAAAAGGTGGACTTGAGTGTTTGAATGGGTGATTTTCTATGTGATGCAACTAGTAGACAATATATTTATATACGCTACTTCTCGAGAAATGTCGCAATATGAACGGACAGTGAGGCAGAGCCTGTCATGGACTCGAAACAAGATTGGCGAAGGGGCGAAGGTCTCCTTCGCGGATGATTGGCCCTCAAATATGTACAGTATCCCCGACTCTCGAACGGAGTGAGAGGGAGGGCCTTGTACCGTACGATCGGTCCTCAGGTTGTCCAGATCCAGCCCCCCCCCGATGTTCCCACGTTTCGACAGCGTCAATTGCTTACGTACTGCAGGTTTCACCTTTGCCTACATTTTACTGCTTTCGCGTCTAATGTCGGTCGGATTCGATTCAATATACCCTGAAATTGCTTCGTCTGCACCAGTCTGGCTTCACAATGATACAGAAACTTTATATGCAGCATTTAGCAAGTTACCTTTCAATTGTTACGTTGAGTTTTCACCCCCCCTATCCTACTCACAGTGGAATAAATTGAGCAAGAAAGCGAGAACAGACAAGATATGTACGCTGTATGAAAGCACTTGTGCGACCCTACCTCGGATTGTTCATGATTTATTGTTAGAGTCAGTGCTGTTTGATGCAGATCATGAGAAGTGAGCTGAACTGAACTGAAAACCAGAATCTAACTGTTGGTACTCTGACTAGGTTAAACTAAACTCTGGGTTCGACTACGCCTACCCCGTCACGTCTCAAACCTATTACCGCAAGACTCTTGATATTGAATTTCTCGCCCCTTGGCCTCTCCCGGTGCTACTTCACACAAAATCGCTACCGATATTCTTCTTTGAGCCAATCTCAAGGTCAGTCCCCTCATCGATGACGTTGCTTCTGTTGCCTAAGCTTAACTACCCACTCAGAAAATTGAAGAACCATTTAAATTGACTCAAATCGGTTCCTCCACGATGGCATATAAATGCAACCCGATGCATTCTGAATGTGTTTGCAGTCTTGCTAGGCATCTCACGGTAAATGCATTGATGGCCCTAGCATGCAGTGGTTCGAAAGAAGGTTGGAATCGCTACCTATATTCGTCTTTCAGCTAACCTCAAGGTCAGTCCAGTCCTCTTATTGATGAATTTGTTTGTGCTGCCCAAAACTATCCACTCAGGAAATTGAAGAACTATTTGAATCGACTCAAATCGGCTCCTCCGCAATGGCATATAAACGCAATCCGATGTGTTATAAACGTGTTTGTAGTCTTGCTAAGCACCTCAAGGTCTTGCCCCAAAATGCATTGATGACCTCAGCGTGCAGTGGTTTGATAGGTACATGAACCACCCCCGATGTCTCCCTACTAACCAACTCATTTCCAGTGCCAACCGCCGCATTACCCTCCCCGAAGCTTTCCTCACCGCCGACATCATCCTCTCCACCCTCCAAAATATCTCCGAAGGCCTCATCGTCTACCCCAAAGTCATCGCCAGACGCATATCCCAAGAATTCCCCTTCATGGCTATCGAAAACATCATCATGGCGATCGTCAAAGCCGGAGGAGACCGTCAAGAGGCGCACGAGAAGATTCGCGTGTTGTCGCATGAAGCGGGGTATCAGGTTAAGCAGTTGGGTTTGGAGAATGATTTGATTGAGAGGGTGAGGATGGATGTGTATTTTGATCCGATTAAAGGACAGTTGGAGGATTTGTTGGAAGAGTTTTGTGGGGAGGGCCGGAGCAAGTGGATGCGTTTTTGAAGGATTGGGTGGAACCGGCGTTGAAGGATGAGAAGGCGTAGGCAGCTATTGAGGGAGCGCAAAAGGTGGACTTGAGTGTTTGAAATTGAATGGGTGATTTTGTATGTGATGCAAGTAGTAGACAATGTATTTATATAAGCTACTTCTGGAGAAATGTCCTATAGGCAATATGAATGGATAGTGAGGCAGAGCCTGTCATCCACTCGAAACAAGATTGGTAAAGGGGGCGAAGGTCTCCTTCGCGGACGATTGGTCCTCAAATATGTACAGTATATTGTTCAAGCCAAAAAGAATGGTTACTGCCATAAGTAACATGGTTGATTCCGACACGGGGAATCAAACCCCGGGCTATCGCGCTCCAAAGTAGAGGTGGCTCACGCATGAGAGGCGATAATGTTAGCCACTACACCATATCGGAATAACAGGTTTGATTATTAGAGCTGTACATATTCCAAGATTGGCTATGCATTACCGCAAATTGGCAACATCGCACATATCTCCAATACCCCTGTGTCTTCCTACACCACAATTCCGAAACCGTATATGCATCTGGATCCAGTCAGTGGTCCAACGAGCGAAGTGCATCTTTCGCCTTTATGTAGATCAAGACTCGGATGAATTGGATGCAAATAGATTCGGGATTGATTCTGTTTCTCGAAAATAGAGACCAGCTGGGAAGTGAAGGCTGATAGGACAAGAATAGATGGGATTGAATTTGGTTTGGCCATGACGGGATATAGCTAGCCTTTAACCAGCCTTTGAATCAACTCTATGAACAAGCAAATTTGTGAATCCGCACTGAGAACTCTTCTAATTGACATAATGTATATCATGCATTGCTCGGTCGATTTGCTAGATTTGGGACTCAGGACTTCGAATCTTGAGTACCTCCTTTTTGCCCTCCAGAGCCTATAAATCTCGCTGTACTCCGCTTGTTTTATGCTACTCTTGGTGTCGTTGCCTTCACTCCCTCCGACTATCCAGTACTTACTTCTTTCATTTCTTCTCCGTGACATCCACGACCGCTTGCACCGAGCGCGCGAAACGCAAACCGGAATCGAGTTCCGATAGCACGGAGCAGGGACATACTGACGTCGCCAAAAGGTGAAAAATGCTTTCGGGGTCTATCGGCAAGGATCTCAGAAGAGGTCTTGGCGTCGTACTGTAGTGATTGTAGAATGAGACATGTTCTAAAAAAGGCGACAAGGCAGAAAGAAGGCAAACGTTCAGGAAGCGACGCATGCTCGAAAGAGCAGTCTCAAGCCAAAGGCAATAATAAAACGACAAGCTAGGAAATCCTATGGACGGTCCTGCTCATATCCGGGGCAAAGAAATTGAATTATTATGATATTTATGCTGCTTGCGAAGCAGGGAAACTGCTTGCAGAAGCCTCTATAACTTGGGCGAGTTGAATTCTGAGAAACAGTCATACATGAGAAATGACAGCAAAGGAAAATATTCATAGAATGCTTAACTCATCAACGGGAAAGAGTAACGTTCCATTGCAACCTTTACACGCTCACACAATGCGCGAGCTTCGAAGTATTGCATTCGAATGCTGTCGTCGACAAAGACTTTGCAAGCGATAGTCCAGATGACCTATACGAAAATCGCGTTGCAGTCTCGGTTAGTGGAGGCCCGATCTAGAACTTCTTGAGATGGAAACTCACAGCTAGCATCGGGGTTAATGTACAATCCACCTCAAGGATATGGCCCCAAGTATCGATCAGATTCACGATAGCCTTCGCTGCTGTAAATATCCTAGTCCGAGAAATATTATTCTGCGAGGCAAACGGAAGATGAAGTTGTATATCTGCAGCATGTGCAAGCGAATGCACACAGAACTGACAGTCTAGAGGTGACTCCGAAAGCGCGACCTGGAGGCAATACACTTGCGACGAATCTCGGATGAGAGTGTCAAGGGAGGTGAAATTTTCCTGGGATTGCTGAGAATGAGGATCTAGATTTGAGTGTTGATGTGGATTGAATGAGGGAAGCAAGTGAGTGGTAACTTACTGCTAAGAAGTTGAATTCCAGTAAACGTAGCACGTTCGAACAAAATTGCTGCTCTGGAAAAATAGCTCTGGGAGAGTAATGCTGTCGCGATACCACTATCGAGATCACCCGACAGAAATTGTTCAATTGTGTGGCTGCTCCGAAAATCAGGATCAAAGGGAACCTAAGATAAATGATCTTATGCTAATGTTCAATAAAGGTGTGACGACGGTGAACTACTTGCTGTACTCTTCCATCGTACGCGGCACGGTGTGTCGACTCTCGCCATTGGAGTTGTATACGGAATGCTGGAAGGAACTCCATGTACAGTATTCCAAAAATGCGTCTAAAGTCAAGACCGTCCAGAATGCGAGTGTTGATGTGGATGAATGAGGGAAGCAAGTGAGTACTGCTAGACGAACACGTCAAATGCTGCTCTGAATCTCTGGGAGATATGCGCGATACATATCGAGATCACCGACAGAAATTGTTCAATTGTGTGGCTGCTCCGAAAATCAGGATCAAAGGGAACCTATGCATAAATAATCTTATGCTAATGTTCAATAAAGGTAGTGACGACGGTGAACCTACTTGTGTGTACTCTTCCATCGTACGTGGCCACGGCGTGTCGACTCTCGCCATTGGAGTTGTATACGGAATGCTGGAAGGAACTCCATGTACAGTATTCCAAAATGCATCTAAAGTCAAGACCGTCCAGAATGCATTGATTCTTTCGCCCTCCTCTATAGCATCGCGAGGCTCCGCTAACGGATTCAGATTGAGGTATCCGGATGCATCAGGCGAAGATGTGCGAATCTTGTGTGTGCCACCACTTAGAACAAGCGAAGCAGCAGCGGTAGAATGATAATTCCCTTCCAAGATCCTTCCGGCAAAGTAGAAATAGTTTGCTAGAAGGACTTCCGACTGAATACATTGAAGCACCTTTTGAGGGTGGTTTTCCGACAGTGCATGGGCTGAGCTTTGAAGGGCACGGGAGACAAGGATTCTATCTTGCCCTGTATGGTTTTCGGATGAAGAGAGAAGCATTCCCCAGAGATAGGACGTATTTAATAGTGCGAATGTTGGCCTTTCACCTTCAGCATTCAGTGCTAGTGAATTTTTAAAGCGCTCTTCGTGCAAGAAAAAACCCAAAGAACAGCTTTTGTGAACGAAGTTGTGAAGTCTGTTTGAAGCTTTGTTAAGGCAATAGTCAAGGAGCGGTATGAGCCACTCACAACATCTGAGAAAGAACTGGGGGTATATCCTGCAAAGTATATCAACTACAAGTTCCGAGAGTGAGATGAAATGAAAGCATACCTGAAAACCTGACGCAGAGACTCGAGCGGCTACGAAAAAAAAGTAAGACGATAAACGGATAACCATCTGCCGCGCGCGTACCCGATGATGGAGCTGCATGCAGATAAACCTCTGATCCCGTCCGTTGTAAGTCGTGCCCAGCCACCTTGGGGGTAGGGCCAGTCTCCCCCGTCTGAAGCTCTTGTATACGTGCCTCAAGAGCAGATATATGGTATTCGAGAGATTGTTCCTCGGCGGTTCGTTCGTTCCTGTATTCACAGTCATTGAAAATATCCGAGTTCAAGCAAGGAGAACATTTCGGTCTTTGTCCATCACATCGCTGGTAGAAGCAAATCAGTCCTCTCAATTCGCGATTGGGAATGATAGACAAACCATTTTTCGACGTCTAATTCATCCATAGTGAGTTAAGAGCGACGCACAGACAGAGAGAGAGAGTAGTACCGACCGGCAATTTAAACAAGCTGAGCCCCATGGCAGGGAAGGCATATCTAGGCGTTGGCGTTTGAGATATCCATAACCTTGGGCTCTTTTTATTCCTCCAACATCAGAGTCTGGGTTTGTTGAGATATATGGTACGCTATGGTGAAGAGTTAGTAAGGCAACTTTCAAGTCTGGCTATGAAGAAAGCTCTGACCCACCAGGATTGCGAGAGATGAGTGCCTTACTCAGCCTGGAATGACTGAGCTACAGAGGGCGCGATGAATACGTTGGCGTTACTTATTGTGGTAGTACCGGCAGCCGCCCTCTTCCGAGCCATACTAAGCAACCTGGGGATGAGTAAGCTCTATAGTTTCCATTCTAATGGATGGGATACATACCGGTTAATTTATGAGCTATAGAGGCCTTAGATTGAGGATAACTGCTAAGCCTTGTAGCGGGACAAGAGTAATGGGAATCTGCTGCCTTTTGAAGTGAACACTGAACCCGTCCTTAAGCACTCAATAGTAAACATCGATCAGCATTTTAGCCCGCGCCCATCCCCTCACTGTCAGTTCATGAAGTTTGGAATCTCGATGCTCGGAACTGCGCTGTGAGGAACGTTCGGTGTGGCCCATCTTCAGAGCCAGGAGTCACACATTTCGGTGCTGGTGATTTGGCGCCCAAGATCGATCCGCGAGGAACGTAGTTTCTCCGCTCCCACTTCCATCTTGCAACTATCTCTATACTCTTCGAAGACATGGATGTCATGCTAGAACCCGCTCAACAAATTCTCATGCCCTCATTCAACAACACCTATCCAGAAACGCTCCACATTCTCTCCGGTTCATTCCGTTCACTTTCCCTATTCCTCCTCGCATTCTCGCCCGCTCGGAGAACGTTATCACTCGTTCAGCAGGCTCAGGGATTTGGTCCGCATCAGTATTTAGCTCTTGCGCCGAAGAATAATAAAAAGAAGAAGCGAGCGTATACCACAAGCTGGGCCGTTCCTTCGATTTTATCCAGCTGGGAGATATCCGAATCCAACGACAACATCGCACATATATCCAATGCCCCTATAACAGCTGTGTCTTCCTACATTACAATTCCGAAGCCGTATACGCATTTGTACTCGGTCGGTGGGCCAACGGGGGAAGTGCATCTTTTGCCTTTAGATGAAGACTCGGATGAATTGAATGCAAATGGATTCGGGGATAAAGTCCAGGAATTGTTATTCCTCGAAAGCAGAGAGCAACTGGAAAAGGCTGACAAGACGAGAAAGGCTTTGAGGTATGGAAGTCATGGGATTGAATTTGCGTTTCACGACGGAATACAGCTTGCCTTTGTCCCAGTCCTTGGAACCAACTCTATCGAGGTATACACGCACGATCCCACTTCAGGCCTCTTGACACACATCTATTCCTCACCTTCTCCACGACCGGATGCCCATGACGGTCCACGACATGTAAAGATTCATCCAAACGGAAAAGTCCTTTACTGTGTTACGGAACATAATAATCTTTTGGATGTTTATTCGATTTCTATCCCCAGTCCAGATTCTGGCGCGAACCCTTTAACATATATATCTACACGCTCTCTCCTCCCTCCCCATCTCTCGTATCCACATGCTGGGAAGGAGACTACTGCGAAGTTCAGAGGGGATACGTTGATGCTTTCGTACTCAGACTC